ATGTATGGCTTACGATCAAAAATTTCCTTTTGGGTCAAAGCCCTCACCAAAGTAAGTTTCCCTTCCTCCTTTCTTTCCAATAATTGTGTCCTGTGTTGCTCCTTTCTATCGTTAGGTTTGATGAATAGTCGCTTACTTTTTTGCATTCCATTTTATGTCTGTTATTTATTTTAATAATGGGAAGCTGAAATTGCTACTTAATGTGAAAGAGAGGTTATAGATAATTTTTCAGATTTGGGTTTAGGATTTTAGTATTCTAAGTTTCTGGAGTTCAGACATGCCGCATGTGCATTCTGTTCCAGAAGCTCTGATAAGGAATGGCAGATTTTCCAGATGATTGAAACCCCTCATGAAAAAAACTTTTTTATTTTAGACTAATGTATGCTTGATTTGCTTTTCTTCACCTATCAAAACAGGGATTTTTAGTTTTGGTTTTAATTACTTCCTTGTCCTGAAAAATGATTGCCTGTAATGTGAAGCCCTTCTCGGTTTGGTAACTTTCCACTTGTTAACTGATTAAGGTCATCAATGTTATAGAAAGCGAAAGAATGAATGAACGAGTGAGTGAATGGCTAGCTAGCTAGATTCACTTAAACCATTTCTGTTGCATGCTATATTGTTCATGATGAACCTTGAAATGTCTAGGGTTTTGTGTCTTTTCAGCTGTTTTTTTTTTCTCATAGTTTCCAGCCACTGTCACAAACCCTTTGATTCTTTGATAGCTAAACTCTTAATTCCTTTTTTTAAAATGTTCATTTTCATTAAAGTGCTATTTAACATTAGATATTAACTTTGACAGATGTTAATGCTGCTTCTCAATTAGGTGACATATTCTTGAGAAGGTGCCAATTTGAATTGAATATATTTGAATTTGGTATGTGAATTAAACTGTTGTTTAAACCTTACCCATCCATTATATGGGTGATAGAGCAGCCAGCTGGTTTTGTACAAAAGTTTTTTTCCCAAGCAACATTTAAACATTAGAAAATGGCTTCCTATTGTAGCAAAGAGAACCTCATATGAATTTACTACAAGATCTGCTTGTTTGTCGGTTCCTTAGACTGCCTAGAATTTAAATTGGCAGACACTACTTTGGTATAAAATGCTTTCCATGGACAATATTAATATTTAAAAATCCTTTTTGTTCCTGCAGATTTCCAGTAGACAGGAAGTCTAGCTCTCTTTACCCTTTGGCTACTAATGAATGCTATTAAATTATTATTTATCTTCTTTAGGCAGAGGCACTACAGGTATGAGATCAGAATTGCCAAGTAAGGCAAGCATTTAATTTTAAAATTAAAAAAATAATAATCCATTCAAAGGTGGCAACTGAAATGTGGATACTAGAAAGAATTTTGGACTTGAGTCAGAGAATCTGGGTTGTATCCCCACCTGTGTCACTAACTAGCTGGGTCACTTCGAGTAAGTCACTACTCAACTCTGGACTGCATATCTTCTCTGAAGGCTCCGCTTCCGCATTGCATATTCTGTATACTCAAGTGAGTGGGGCTGAGGGAAGCTAAAGCGCTTGTTTATCAGCTATCCACACCAGCCTAGCAGCTCTGAGGTCAGTCTCCAGCTGCATTTTTCATCTTTTTTATAATCCCTTAAATCCTTGCTAGGCTTTCATTGCTAGTTCCTTTCCCTAGGAATTTGCATTTAGAGATATTGAGAGCTTCCTACCTTTTGGAACTTTTCTATGCTCATGAATTTAATGAAAAGTTACTTAGAATTGATGAAAAATGCAAGAATTAAAAGTCTTGTTTGAATGAGTGTTTCTGTAAAGTCAGACTGTTTCCATCATGACAGATATACCTTCACTATTTTAGAATTTTGAAGTTAATACATTTGAGTCTCAGTATGGCAAGGCATGATTATCAGTTTCTCTTATTAGCCATGCTAGCATTCTCCCACTCACTCGTTGTTCTAAACATTCTTTTTCTGTAAAGCACAGAATGATTGAGCATCAAGGCTCCATATCACGAGGAAAACTTCCTAGCCTGATCCTCAGTTACATTTTAAGTACTTGAAAGTTTCATTGATTTGAAATAGTTTGAATTGCACTCAGCTAAAATTTACCTTTCAGTGGTTTGCTAGGAAATAAACAAAATGATCTTGCCTCAAAGTCTTGAGAAATTAACTGTATGGCAACTTCATCATGTGCATTGTTTTAATTTAAAAGCTAGAGCTAGATACAAAACACACTTCATTAAAGAAGGCCTAGCACTATAATTAAAAAGGCAGACAGTAACAAGTGTTGACAACGGTATGGGGAAATTGGAACCCTCACACATTGCTGGTGGGAATGTAGAATGGTACAGCTGCTGTGGGAAACAGTTTATTGGTTCCTCAAGAAAGTTAAACACAGAATTACCATGTGATTCAGCCATTCCACTCCTAGGTATCTACCCAAGAGAAGTGAACACATATGTCCACACAAAAACTCGTACATGAATGTTTATAGCAGCATTATTCATAGTAACCAAAAAGTGGAAACAACCCAGATGTCCATCAACAGATAAATAGATAACAAAATGTGATATATTCATACAATTGAATATTATTAGGCAATTAAAAGGATGAAGTACTTTTACAAAATGTAACGTCAAATTTATCAAATAAAAATAAATAAATAAATAATATATGAAGTACTGATACATGCTACAACATGGGATGAAACCTCAAAAACATTATGCTAAGTGAAAAAAGCCGGACACAAAAGGCCATATATTGTATGATTCCACTCATATGAAATGTCCAGAATAGGCAAATCCATAGAGACAGAAAGTAGGTTAGTGCTTGCCAGGAGCTGGGAGGAGGGGAGAATGGGGACTGACTGCTAATAAGTATGGGGTTTCTTTTTGGTGTGATGAAATGTTTTAAAATTAGATAGTGGTAATGGTTGTACAACTCTGTGAATATACTAAAAACCATTGAATTCTGTACTTTAAAAGGTGAATCTTATGGTATGTGAATTATATCTCAATAAAGCTGTTATATATCAAAGACCTTAGTGACTATATTACTATAATTACTTGAAATTATAAAAATGTATTTAAATTACATTTTTGCCAGGGGCTGGGAGGAGGGAGGACTGGGGAGTTAATGTTTAATGGGTACCATGTTTCAGTTGGGCAAGATGAAAAAAGTTCTAGAGATAGATAGTGGTGATTGTTGCACAACAATGTGAATGTACTTAATCTCACAGAACTGTACACTTAAAAATGGTTAAAGCAGTAAATTTTGTTATGTATATTTTACTACAATAAAAAATTTATAACCCTAAAAAATTACATTTCATATTTTTCTAATGTATAAGGCTTTTTTCCCTCGCTCTCTTTGTCTTTCTAACAGGAAAACTGAAAGTGTGGTTGGCCTTTTGGTTTTTATGCATGGGATTCTTCTGGTCTATATTTTAGAACTTCCTCTCCTGTGTGTGTGTGTGTGTGTGTGTGTGTGTGTTGGGGTGGGGGTGTTACACACACGTATATCTTTCTTTGGCTTTGAATGAGAACTTGAAAATATTTTTTAAAACTTCATTTGACAGTAGGAAAATAAAAGAAGCCAAACCAAAGGAAGTTTATGTTGTTAAATTATAAAATAGTGAAATGCTGTTCTCAGAGTACGCATCATCACAGATTTCCTGACTTTCTTCGTTAATCGTGGTTCCTTGAGAGGGAAAAAACATTATGCTTTATATGGAACATTTCTATATCTTTCTATAAGCATTTTCCTTTGCATAGCAGGATAGAACCAAAATACATTGAAAATACTCACATAGGGGTACATTTGTACAATACAGTGGGTGAGTTTCAGAATACAAAGGAAGGGATGGAAAAACGAAAAAAAAGGAAAATCCAGCAATCAGGAAGTCACTGAAAAAGGAATTAAATTATTTCCAAAGGCCACAGAACTTAGTTATGACCCAAGCAGTTTGTAGGTTCTAAGTTTGTAACCTCTAAGGATTAATCACTGAAAACATTTTCTAAGCCTGGATGCTATATAGGACATTTGAAGATCGATGGCGCACATGCCAGCAGTGCCATTGATATAGTGTGCAGTCAGAGGTGTGTTTGTTTTTCTTGACCAGGAAGTGGTTTCTTTTAAAAGTACAGGGAACACACAGTGCCTCTGTGTGTGTGTGTGCGTGCGTACGCGTGTGTGTGTGTCTGTATTTTCTGTCTATTCTACTGTTGCAAGAAGAATTATGGTCTTCCAACATTTTTGTCCTGTACAGTGGGGTTTTTCTAGAGTTTGGCACTGTGGTATACTACCCTTGATTGCAGGATCCAATCAGAGTTGATGTACTCAGAAATCCATTGATGTGATTAATGGTCTCCTAATCATACTTTTATTTCCCAGATTAGCCCTATTTCCTGTAGTTTCACAATTTTTGAGTCATATCTTGAATTATCCTTTATAGGGGGCCTGAAATCCTTGTGAGTATTTTTAGTCTGTAATTTGCATGATTATTTTCATTTTCCTTGATTTCTTTTGCTTGAAGAAGATGAAATTTTGATCCTTTTTCTGAACTCACCAAGTGCTGTTCTATAGTAACAGGCCAACCTAGTATAAACTTTTTTTTTTTTTACAACATGAAATATATATATATATTCTTCCACCAGCACTAGATCCAGAAGTCTCCCCAAAAGTTTCCACTAGTCTGGTTTTTATTCTCCTCAAAAGTAAAATAAAACATTCTCAGATTCTACAAGTAATAGGGAAGTACACCAGGAAATGACTGTACAGGAAATGTAGTTGATCATTCACTCTTTACAATTGAATTGGTCACAGGATTGGCTAGTAAACACAGTCTATTGAATGAAAAAAATAGCAACTTCTAAAATCTCTGGGGCCTTTGAATACTTGGAAGATTTTTGGCACCTTTGACACCTTACTGATTTATTTTTCTCTCTTACCTTTTTCAAATAATTGTCGGCATTTGAAATTAGGAACTCTCATATCTAGTGATTGCTTTAATATTTGTTTGTTTTCAACAGTGCCCTTAAAGATAGCCGTTTTCCCCCAATGACAAGGGATGAGCTGCCACGGCTGTTCTGCTCAGTGTCTCTGCTCACTAACTTTGAAGATGTCTGTGATTATTTGGACTGGGAGGTAAGACTACAGAAATTTTTTAAAGAAAAATGAAGGTAATTCCTGAGTAATGGTTAAAAATTAGGCCCAGAAAATAGGTCTTTCAGCCCATTCTCTATTGTAATGGAGGTGGAGAGTAACATGGATAAATAAACCTCACAGCTGATCAATAAGATATGAGTGAAGGAGTTTTTTTAAAAGGCAAAGTGCCATGTGTTGTTTTAATCCCCAAGCTGAATTTGCTCTTCATTTTTATCTTATGACTTCACCACAACACCTCATAAAATCTGTTAATAAGTAGTAAGAAGGACTGATTGGAATTTATTTCTTCTCTTATTTCCATTCCGATGCACTCTGGTGTAACTGCCACCAAGCAGTTACGTGGTCAGAGGATACATCTCAGAAACAAGGAACAAAAGAGCTAGGACAATACACCAGTTGGGGAAATCAGCTTGTGGACAATGACAGGGTGTGGGTTAACTAGAGTTAAATCACGCTAATTCATCTTGACTACCTTAATTTACGCACTTACACTAACAAATAATATTAAGGTTATATCACAGATATCTCTGTGCGTTGCCATTATCAGAGTAGCCTATGTCAATCATCTTTTTATTCTGTAGTATGCGGAATTGGGTTTTTAAGGAAGTTCAAATGTTCTCACCATGATTTTTTTAGTGGTTGGGAGAAGACAGTTGAGTGTTTGTCTATGAAATTTTACACACAAACAGGCCCACATTACTGAATGCCTACTGTATTCCAGGCACTGTGCAATGTACAAAAGTGCTAAGATTTGGTCCCCACCATAAAGCATCTTATAGTCTAATAGCAGAGAAAAGAAGTATACACAAAGCATGAAGAAATAAGTGCTATAAGAATGAAACAATGGGAATTCAGTGATACACATAGCGTTCTATTACACACACACACTCATAAATACATGACTGTATCATTGTGATATAACCTGTTTTAATTCTGCTGCCTTTTTATAATGACTGTCCCCCATGGTAGCTGAGATATTTTGCCTTGTGAACAGATCACTGTCTTAATAGTTAATTGGACTTGAATTTTATTTTTGGCTTTGCCCTGATTCCTTGTGAGACTTGGGACAACTTACTCCACTGCCATTCAGCTTTTGCACATACAAAATAAGACATTTATAAAATTCTTTTTTTTTTTTTTTTTAAGTTTATTTATTTTTATTTTTTCCCCCCAAAGCCCCAGTAGATAGTTGTATGTCATAGCTGCACATCCTTCTAGTTGCTGTATGTGGGACTCGGCCTCAGGATGAACGGAGAAGTGGTGCCTCGATGCGCACCCGGGATCCGAACCCGGGCCACCAGCATTGCAGCGCGCACACTTAACCACCAAGCCACAGGGCCGGCCCAACATTTATAAAATTCTTGATCTTCATTTGAAAAAAATCTCTCTAATATAAATTATTGTTGTGAGGCCAGAGCTGTTTTTAAAATTCTGCAGAGAGTAGTATGAAAGAGTTCCTCCTGGGTTTTGTGGTATGGTTTTTTGGAGCGTTATCAGAATGTGAAAGCATCTTAAGGTTTTTTGTAAAGGAAAAAATAAAATTAATTGCTAGTGTTGATCCTAGTAAAGTTGGAATGTATAAAACCTTTTATAGAATTAAAATTTCCTAATTGTTTTCTATAAGTTTATTGTTCCTATTTGAATTTTTCTTAAAGAGAAGTTGACCAATATAGAAATATTCCCCAGTACTTTATTTTTAAATGATCCCAAATCATATCCCTTACTTATTAACAAATATTACTGTTTGGGTGGTTCTTTTACTGTTTTAAAGCTACTGCTTCCTCTTCTCTAGCTAGAATTTTATTTCTGCTTTCTGAATTTCAGGGTGCTGTGTGTGTAGTGGTGGGGGTGGGAGTGATAACAGGGAGAAACACCTGAGATCTAAGGGATGACTGGGCTACAAAAACACTTCTACTCTTACTTGCAGCCATTGAGTTGGAAGTACAGTTTTGATGTCCATGTGTGTGCACGTGCATGTGTGGCATGTATATTGCATAAACGTGTGTGCATGTGTTTTGGGAGAAGGAAAAATGGGAGAATCCAACAGTTGTTAAATACGTCTGGGTAAGCAGAGAGTACACCATCGTCATCTTTGGCCCACTTCAAGCACGGTCTATAGCTGAAACTAACCTTGATATTATTGGGCTTTTATGTTCACGAGATGTATCAGCTTTCTGTTGGGAGAGCAGGAGGTAAAGCACTTAAGAACTGCTACTGTGTACTCTTTCAGGACATATTTATCCTCTCTGATCACTATCTGCCAGTTTGAATTTCTAGATGATTCTATATTGCTTCTATTTGATATTGTACATTTAATACATTCCTTAAGCCTTAAATATTGGTGTCTATGTAGTGATGCTTCTCTGTTAAAGTAATGACACACATATGTTTTTGTACTTTTAATATATAAACATTTGAAAGTGAATTAGGGACTGCTAGAATGGCAGTTTAAAGTATTTAGCATAAGAGAAATTTTTTCCCAAAGAGTAAGGGTGAAAATCACATTTTTAAGTACAAAAATGTGATTTAGGCTTTAAAAAATGTACCATAGTCAGTGATTGAAAATGGAATGGTATTATTGTGGGAATGATGTTATAAAGGTTATCCTTAATAATAATTCTGACAAAGCATTGGTAATTTAAACACAGAATGCCAAAGTAGAATTAAAGATTTTTTTTAAAAAGTATATGTCAATACAATTCCACTCCTAGGTGTATACCCAAAAGACATGAAAACAGATGTTGAAACAAAAACTTGTACACAAATGTTCATAGCAGCACTATTCGCAATAGCCAAAAGGTGGAAACAACCAAAATGTCTTTCGGCAGAGGAATGGATAAACAAAATGTGGCATATACATACAATTGAATATTATTCAGCCATAAAAAGAAATGAAGTACTGATTCATGCTACAACATGAATGAACCTTGGAAACCTTATGCTAAGTGAAAGAAGCCAGACACAAAAGGCCACATACTGTTTGATTCTATTTGTATGAAATATCCAGAATGGGCAAATCCATAGAGAGAGACAGCATATTAGTGGTTTCCAGGGGTTGGGGATGGGTGAATGGGACGTGACTGCTTAATGGATACAGGGTCTCCATTGGGGGTGATAAAAAGGTTCTGGAACTGGATTAGTGATGGTTGTACAACATTGCGAATGTACTTGATGCCACTGAATTGTACACTTTAATATGGTTAAAATGGTAAATTTTGTTATGTGTATTTTATCACAATAAAAAGGCATAGATGCATATGCATATATATATTTAAACCTATTGTCCATAATAGTATAGTCATTCTAATTTATTGAAGAAGAAAACTTTAAAAATTTTTAAAATATAAAGAAAAAAATGCAAGCCATTCATAATTACACCATTCTGAGATAACCACTGTTAACATTTTGGAATATTTCTTCCAATTTTTTCCGTGTCTGTATCAATAAATCTGCATATTTGTTTATGTAACTGAGATCATATTTTATATACACTCACTATTAAAAAGAGGATTCTGGGGAAGTCTTTGTTTATGATTTATCTTTGTATATAAGTTAATTATTTGTATTGTGAATTTCCTTTATGAGGAGTCAGTCTATATTATGAAAGTATATGTTTCATTTTGAGAAATTTCACACTGTCAAATAGGTACAATTTTTCTTCCAATAATGAAATAGGCTATTCACCGTAAGTATCTAATTTTAACCTGAAATGCAAAGTGCTGTATATGTTTATGCCAGAGGGGGAAACAGGAGATCATTACAGAATTTTAATAGAGAATTTTTAAGTCAAAGATTGGTAATGAGTATGTGTTATATAAGCAGAAGCCTCTAACACATGGCTTTTCTGATGGAAATACAGTTTGCGAGTTGACCCCCCACTGGTGAAGCGTGTTACTGCAGTAGAATTCCTGATTAAAGGGATGAAAATGCCCAGATCCAAGCAGGGAGAGGGCAAAGTCTAGAAGTCCCAAAGCGTAGATGTAGGTAACTTCGGTAACAAGAGACAAATCCCTGTGGTCATGAGGATGAGGGATGTGACCAGTGGTAATAGCTACCTAATTTTCAAATGATCAGGAAACAAGTGAACTGCCACAGGGCTGGCTACTATCTTACTGTCTTCTTCATCCAAGATTTTTAACTCATCCTATTTGGGAACTCTCTTTTGGTAACATGTCTCTCATTTTATAATGCAAGTTAGTAGGAAAGTAGGATTTACATCAAACTTTGTTTTAGAGGTTAGAATGCTTCTATTTGATAATGTGAGGAATGTTTGATGAATGGTTTCACAAGTGGATATAATAAATTTCAAGTCAATGTTGAATTGACAGAATAATCAGTAATGCTTCTATATGTCATATTTCCTCAGAATAGTAATTTTAACATTTAAAATGAGTGTCTATAGGTAGCCTCTCAAGGAGTCTGGGTAGTCATTAAAAAACAACAAAACCATCCACAAAAGGCTATAAAGACAAGTTGGAACAGTGGTCCCACCCTTCTGAGAATTGCGGATCATTGCTCACATCCTGATCTACTTAGTGCTCTGGTAGGTATGAGAAGGATGAAGAGTGAATGATTTGGGGAAAAAAATTCATTAACTGATAAATTGAAATGTCTACCTGCAAGGCTAAAATGGTTGTTAAATGAGGAAAATTGCTCCCCTAGGGAGAAGTGAAGTGATCCGCCTTGTGTTTGAACACAAAAACTTATTACCATTGTTCTGTGTTCTTCAATTGACAGCATTCTCTTAATTCTGAATGACAGGATGATTGACAGACATGGTGCTTTAGAAAGAAAGAAAAGCTCATGCAGCATGCTGAAGTCCTCTAAAACGATATATAGCCTAGAACTTGTATAGTTATACTATTTGGGAGCCATATTTCCTTTTAAAGATCTGGAAGGATATAAAACAAATGACATTACAATGGCTGGAGTTTGACTCAAGGGGTGATTCTAGGTGTGTCATCTCGTAGCTGCTCATT